GCTGCCCACATCCCGCAACCCTAGGGGGGAGCAGCCCCCGGCCCAGCCCCCACGCTCCCCTCTCCTGCTGTTTAAAATTCTGAGCGTTTTTGCCTGCAGCCTGTGTGACGGGGTTGAGGGCAAACAGCGCCAAGTGTGCACAACGGGCAAGCAGGAGCACCCCCAGAACCCCCGTGACGCTCCTGAGGAAGGGGCTTGATTTCTAATTTTTCTGATTTTTTCTAGAACCAGATTTTTTTTTATGTGAGGGCTGCTGAACAGGGAGGGTGCCGTAACGACGTGTTCGAAAGAGCAGTGATCTGCTGCAGCGCCGAGTTTCCGGTGAAATGCTCGCCCCTCAAGCCGCGAATGGTCAGGAAAACAGCAGCAGCGGGGTTGCTAAGCAAAAAGAAAGATCTAAAAAATCTAAGCATTTCAGCAAACGTGATTTTTAGCCATCCTCAAGGACAGGCTGCTTTAGCAAGAAATAAAGACAAAGAGGAATGTTGAACAGGCTTTTACTTTTTGATAACAATCAGCTCAGTCCCATAATCTGTACCAGAAGTTAATCAAGTGACCCATTAAAATCCTGTCCTGTTTCCATTCTTAAACCAGTTGCTTCTCCTGAAGCCGCCATCACCTTGCCTCGCATTTCCAAACTTGGAGAACCCTCGTCCTGCCTCCTGGGGGTACTCTTCCAGCTCCGGCAATTCCTTTGCCACAGACAGCTGCCAGCGCCTGGTGTCCCTCCACTGCTCCTGAAACAAGACCAAGGTAATGAGAATTTATGTGCCTGCAGGTGTATCCAAGGTATCCTATAGCATTAAAAGCAACACTGAATGCAAAGGCATTTCCAGACAAATCCCACCCTCGCCAAAATAGGCTGGCAGATCCCTCTTGGGAAACAACTCACAGTCCTATGACAAAGGATAAATGATCACAAAGGGACAAGAGGGAGTGAAGTCAACGGAAAACTGGTTAACTCCCAAATACACTGACGAGGTCAAAACCCAGAGCAGCCAAAGAACATAGGGTTTTGTTTAATAAGAAACAGGCAATATTATGAGAACTGAAATGACAAAGAGGCGTGACAGGGTATTTTCTAATGACTGTGCTGTGCTTTAATGACCGTGTTGTTTATGCAACATCCTTATTAAAACACAAACCAAACCACCCTATATTCAATCCTACACATGGCAATCACCAAATTCCAAATCACCAGGTTTCAAAGTAAATTCTGGCTAAAAAACATACCTGTATGTTACTCAGTTCACCAACAGGGATATCAAAGCACACTCCCTACAACGAGAAAATAAGAGATGCATTTGCTTTCTAAAGATACATCCAAGAAAAGAGACACACAACTCCAGACACACAACCTGCAAACTGCTCATACCCACTAACTGTAGAAACCAGAAATAGCAGAAAGCATGGTCTTTTGGGAGGAGCTTTTTATAAGCTGAAGAGAAAAAACCAGTTAAAACACAAAAATCTCAAAACAAAATGCAGATTCAAATGCTCTTTGCCAACAGCAGCATTGCCTGCAATCAGCCTGTCTGTTTGAAAGCAAGACAGGTGTCATCTGGCACCACAAGCTCTCTGAGAACACACTTGCACAGGAGACAAATGTCAGGAGCCAGGTTGAATGAATACTGTACCGATCAGGTCAGTCAGTCAGTCACTGCCCAGCTCTACAGCTGTCCTTTCAATGCAGTGGTACATAGTGTTCACAAGAGTTTACAACGAAAGAAAAGGTCACAACAACCATTCCCACTATATACATATTTCTGATTTATTTTCTTTTTAGGAGAGAATTCCTACATTATCATTAAGGAGCAATTTCTCCATTCAAAAAAGTGTCTTTTAAAACACTGAACTAGCTTCAATGCTGCTTTTTTTTTTTCTTAATATTGCATAGGTAAATAGCAGTTTCAGGGGGCCTCATAATATGTTACCATTCTCTCAGAAATTAGATTGAGTAGGGACATTTCTATATTGGTACTTCAGAACTCCTTCCTCAATCACTGCAAAAACTGGCCATATGTGTATACCCACCCCCACCTCCTTCCCCAAGTTTGGGCCATCTTACCATCTTCCCCTTGAGGAAACGCATTGCAGATACTTTGCCATCTACTTCCTCACCAAGCTGTTCTTTTAGTCCTCGCCAGGCATAGCTCATGCTGCGCATTTCTATTGAACACTTCAACACCATGGTCACAAAGCCCTTCAGGAAACAGAGACAAACATTTACGAGACTAAACTTGGTTGGACAGCCTCCCTAACAATGAACTCTACAATAACTTGGTATTGTAATGTAGTATTTAATCCTAAGAAATTAGCTTCCCAAGAGTGAAGCAACTAAAAGCCTCCTACAAAGCTGAAGGCATCCATCTAACCTAGGACTGCCCACTGATATAAAGGCCAATAGCATTTCTGTGTTTTAGCCAGAAGCAGAGACACATTTATTCAATACATAAAGTTACTGCTAGAAAAGGCATAAAAATCCCCAAATTTATATGAGAAGCACAGTCCAGTCACATGTTATTTCCAAAATTGTGTTACCACGCAACAAAGTGGGACAAGTTCTCCCTGAACGCATCAGAGAAAGGAAGGGCTGTACTTTTCTTCTGTCAAAGTCTCTTTGAAATCAGGTAATCACATAGTAGACTTACTTGAAATATTACAGAAATGTAAAAGTGTCCTGGGAAGGGAAAACTACAATAGCACAAACATCTATTAGCTTGTAAAATGTCATTAGTTACTCTCTTAGAGCATCAAAGTCTTCTGTCACTTAGAGCTCTGGAAAAATTCTTTTAACTCTCATTATAAGAAAATGTGCTAACTGATTTTGGGTTTCTCTGTTTTCCTGGAGAGTGCCAGTAAGAACTGATTTCAGTTAAGGACAAGCCACAGACCAGAAGGTGGGCATAACAGCTATTCAGAAACCCTACTGAAAGAACCTGAGAATAAGATGCCACACTTGGACTGGACACAAGCAATTAATTTACCCATTCTTGTTAATACACATATAACATCATTTACCGCCGTTGAGTTGAGTAAGGAGCGCTGCTGTATGTAAGATGCCCCAGAAATATGGGCTAGAGCTGCAGCCAGGGCAGCAACTGCCCCTTTTTCATCTATGAGCTCTTGAGCAGATTTTCTGAAGTAGTCTACTGCAGAAGGAGGAATGGCCTCCAACATCCTACATGGTGACAAAAAACATTTAAGAGATCAGCAAAGGCCAGCGTCAAGTGCAGTCATGTTTAAGACACAGACAGATTTCAGTATTAACGAATTATCTCTAAAAGCCTTGGCTATCACGCTTACGCTTCACTACCACTCATTTAACTTAACACCTTCAGGATGCTGAATATCCACCTTCTCTGTGGGTGGGCAGAGAAGGAAACCGCTACAGTGTCACTGCTGGGATGGGGCAGTACTTTCTGCTCTCAGCGCAATCTGATCCAATTCGTTATTTCTAGGAGAGGCAGTGAAAACACGCTGGGAAACTGAGAACAGCTACTCCTCTAATGCTATTTTTGCTACACCAGCACCTCCCACCAGTTTTCAGTAGGCAGTTAACCCAACACCATGCCCATGATTTCCTTTACACTGGTCAAAACCTTGCTAATTAACAAGTAATAATCTCTACCAATGCCATTTCCACCAATGGGGCAGCAAATGTAAACAGAGCTGCATGGAATAAAAATCATAACCCTTGAGAATAAAATAATACAAAGAAACACAGGATGCAGCTACAACACCCTCACTACTGCAGAGTAACTCCTCATTATACTAAGTATTGCTCTATACACTGCTGCTTTATCACCTGAGCAGACAATATCAGTTTCCCCTCATGACAGTAATTCCCTGTTCTGCTAATTGATTTCTGACAGTATAAAAAAAGATTAATTTACGCAAGAACTTAGGGAACATTATGTTCCATGAAAAGGTCTATTTCAAGCACACAGAGGTTTATTGATTTCATCTTATGAAAACAAGTCCACCTGTACATGCAAAGCAGGTGACTTTTACAACACAGGGAAAGGCATGCTCACATACTGGTCCAACCCCTTAAAGCTTTGCATTAACAGCATTGTTGGTAACACCTCTAGGTATCTTTTAAGAGCAGGCAAATAAACTTACTTTTTGGCATCATTACTTGAAGCTTTAATTACATCTGTAGCAGAGGGAACACCTACACGCTTAAATGTAATCCCCTGAAATCAAGAAAACAAATTACAGTTAAAGGTACTTTCAGCACTCACAACCCAACCTTACTTAAGCCACATTACTGAGACCTCTAGTTACTGTTTAGAACATCAACATAATCTTTACCTAATTTCTTTCTAAAGCTAGAATAAAGCTTTTACGTTCCCGCCTTTGTTAGTCTGGAACTACCTTACACCGATTTGCATGCAGACTTAACACAAGGCATGGTCTCCTTCACGCACAGTCTGCCTGCTGACATCAACATAGTACTGCCAATATGGGAAAACTCCTGAGACATTAGAAGAGGCTGATATATCAACATTTTAGGCCTACTAGTCTACAGGACATGAGGCCCATACTGGACTCAAAAGCAGCCTGTGGTTATGAAGTCTAAAATTGTCAGAGTCTTTTTAGGAGCCGAATAATGTCATTAAGCAGAGGTCTGAGGTACAACTCACCGCCTTGTGCTCAACTTGTTTCAGAACATCTTCTTCTCTTCGCTGAAATAAACAAATGCAGATCCCAGTCCGGCCCGCTCGACCAGTACGTCCAGAACGATGAATGTAGGAATCAACATCCTTCAGAAATGCAGATTAACACGACAAAAACCTTATGTCACTTAAACTGCTGACATTTGTGTGTTGTAAGAGAGAAAATGGAAGCTAAATTCTAATTCAGAAGCCTAAGGAGTGACACATTATGTGTCTATACCCAAACTTCTAACTACTCGGGTTTGTGTATCCTACCCCTACCCAAGGTACGCTGCCTCAGGTTTAAAAAATACCATTGACATAAGTTTTCTTAAAATAAAAAGCTCCACAGGAGTTTCAAAAGAAGAAGGCAGCAAGAGTATTTTAGAATAGTTATGAAACTCAAAAAAGTTCAGAAGGGATTCAGAAATGCTGAAACAAGGTCAAAAGCTATCTTACGACTTTCCAGTAGTAACCAAAAATCATCACTTTAATCAAAGCTCAAAATACAAAAAGCCTAATTAGGAAATTCTAGGCCTGCATTTACAAAAAATCCACTTCACTTGTGATTCAGAACACACTTCTGGTAAAACAAAGGAATAACCCACTGTTCTACTACCAAAAAAAAAACCCAAGTTTCCCCTAATGACTTACTTTTGGTGGTGAACACTGTATAACAAGGTCAACCTCAGGAATATCCAAACCACGAGCAGCTACATTTGTTGCAATGAGAACTTCAAACACACCATTTCTAAAGCCTTTTAGTGTAATTTCTCTCTGTTTCTGTGGAATGTCACCATGCAATGACTGGGCATCCTGTCAGTGAAACAAACCATTAAGATGCTATTTAACAGGGGAGTCTAGGTTGCAGTATCTAAAGACATTTAATTACAAAACCCAAAACACTGTGCAAAACAAATTACACAGCTGATACCAAAGGAATATAAAGCGTCCTGCTTTGTGGTTTGATCCTTCTCTGGGACAATAATACTCATAAGCAGTAGTTTTACTATAACATTATCATTTGTAGCATACCAACAGCAGACTGTACAATTCAGATTTCACTTCTACTGGAAGAAGTGGAAGCAACTGTACTTCAGCAGTGCTTGTCAAGAGCTAGCAGGAGACTCGGCTCCCTTCCCTGGGAAGCCATCCCAAAGCACACAGAAGCTGAAGTGACGTTTTCAGGGCATTCCCAAACCCTACAGGTGATCTGAACAGCCTCCACTTGTAATGGGACAAGAGACAGATCAAGTGTTTGACAAGGAGAAAGAGGAGAGTCACAAGGTCAGAATTAAAATGAGTAACATGCTAAAGCAGAACTTAACAGCATATGAGAAAAATATACCACATGCTGACAGAAGAAGAAAGTCATTGGATTTACTGTGAAAGCAGTAGGGCCACAGACAAAAATTGTTGCTGCAAGATTTTAACGTGGATGGTATGATATTTACCAAATACTGGGCAAACCATGTATGCCCACCACTGTTCTTTCACCATAAATTAGTATTTAGTGTCAAACAGGACTTTTTCTGAAAAGATCCAGCACCTTCCCCCACTCTCAAAAAGAAGGTGCTAATTCAAGCAATATAGAAAACCTGCTCAATATATTGTCTGAACCAACTATCAAATGACCTCCCAAGGACAACAGGATGTTCTGCTCTACTACATTAGTTGGATTTTCTGAACACTGACTGTTCAAAGAATAAAAGCCACTAAGAGATGGGAATCCAAAGAGCACACCAACAGGAGATGGAGTACGCGCACTCCACTAGCTCCTGCTTATTACCATTATCACTATCTCCAGCTTATTCAGCATAAGTTGTGTATTTTCCATTGATCCAGTCCTGCACAATTTTAAAGCCAAAGGAAGAAATGCATAATCAGAGACAAGAGGGTATTTTAATTGTAAAGCTCTACTTTTAGAAACAGCTTTCGTAAGTCTTAAAACCACGCACAGAAACAACTTCATCCACAGTTGCAAGCGCATATTCACTTTAGGGCATACAACCCCTGAATATCCATAACAGCTGCTCTCCGTTCAGACCCTAGTACCTGTTTGAGCGAAGCATTCATAGCCAGTTCGTTTGCTTCTTTTTTGGTCTCACAAAAGACAATGGTCCGCCCATGGCTGCCACTGTAGACTTGAATGATATCCCCAAGAACTCCTGCTCTCTGAGATGAGCGACACTGTATAGCCAAATGCTATTTGGGAAAGAAACACAATAACCACCTATGTTAAATCTAAGTCATGCACAGGACAAACAAAACAAACACAGAAAGATTTTTTTTTTTAAATCAAGCTTGCAAGCTACTGCCCCCACATTAAAGCTCCACTTAAAAAAACTTGTGTCAATCATGTGAAAAGTCATTCCCACCCTCATTTGTAAAGTCAGTGCAGAACCGACCTTATCCAGCCCACATTCTCTCAGGAACTGCACTGCTCTGAAGCAGAATCACTCACTTCCACAGTTGTGGCAGTCCTTTGAGTTTTCTTTCCAATCAGGTCAATCTGCTCATAATCATCTTTCATGTATTTTTTTGCTACATCATATACCCATCGTGGACAGGTTGCCGAGAACAGCAGTGTCTGGGGGTTGTTCTCAGAACCTGGAAGGAAAGGCCACCAATTTCAGTCATCACAACAGACTCTGAAACATGAAACTGATAAAAAAAGCAACAGAGTTGCTCTCAAATTGAGGTTTACATGTGCAATAAATCAGATACAAGAAGAAAACCTAGAAGCAATATAAACATTTTGAACACCCTTTAGACACCAAAGGCAAAATTACAGTAATTTTAACTGGAACAAACCGAATCCTTCATCCTGCCCGAGAAGAAATGCAAGACATGTTTCTAGATCGTCTGTTAAAAGATGGTTTAGACCATGCCTGAGGCCTCCCACATACCTGAAAGAACTCTTGTCTCAATGCCTCCTTGCCTGGTATTGCAATACTAACTATCTGTGAACAGCATGGCTATGTGTAAAGAAAAAAGGCAGGCTAAAAAGGACACTGTGCAGATCAGGGGCAAGAATTACATAACAAGACAGATTATCCCAAGCAAGAACAGTTTAACAAACAGTATCCATAAAAAGTTTAACATTCATAGCTCCACAGGATCATCAACAGAAAGAAACCCACATTGCAAAAGAATGCTATTATTGCCTACAATTTATTTTCCAGTTATGAAAAAAACTTTCAAGATTTAATAATTATGACAACTCTTCCAAAACCTATACAGATTTTTAGAAAGTGATCTGTACTTTTTGGCTGTCAGGACAAAGAACAACGCTGCAGAAACGGGAGAATGTAACAGTCAAGTAAAAACTACAGTGGCTGTACTGGGTCAAACTTAGGATCCATGAAGCTCATATACTCCTCCAACAGTAGTCAAGCGCACTTGACAAAGATGTGAAGAAACACTGCCAGCAACCAGCTTTTTGTGGCTTCAAGCCAGAAGTGATACCCCTGCTTTTAGTAATCCTTGATAATTCTACTTTCAGTAATTGAAAACTGTCCATTTTCACAGCTTTTGGCATTAGTACAATGTGGCAAGGAATTTCATGCTATTAAGATAACCTCCTTCAGCTCTGTACCTGCTACCTGCTGGCTTCGCTGAATGCCCACGACATCAGAAAAGAGTACATATTCCCTAGTTGTCAACTTTGTGTGATGATGAGTGCACAGACACATCATAACTGTAATCCTCCCAGAGATGCCATTCCAACCCATCAGCCATCTATCACCTTGCTTTGAACCCTTTCCAACTCTACCTTACCCTTTCCTCTGAGGTCCAACACTACCATGGCACAAAGGACTCAAGTTGAGGGTGTACCAGCAGTTTTCAAAGCAGCACAACTGTGTTTTCTGCATTGTCCTCTATTCCTCTCCTGATGTCAGAACTTACCTTTTTTATAAGCAAATCCTAAGATTTCTTCCACTTGTTCTGCAAAGCCCATGTCTAACATGTGATCAACTTCATCCAAAACAACATGCTTCACACTGGAAAGTTCCAGCTTGCTATTCTGAATGTGGTCTTTGATCCGTCCAGGAGTTCCCACTAGAATATCAATGCCACTTTTAAGGAGATCGACTGTAAAAAAAAAGACAGAAAAGCAAGGACAGTGTCAGAATGCTAACAGACAACAAAGTAAAAAGCTACCACTACACAGCAACACTTTCAATTTTAGAACCAAAAAACTACTGCCCTTCACTTTTATCTCTGAATAATAAAGCACAGCATCCAGTCTGAGCAACAAGCAAGTAAGCTTTACAGCTGTCAGGAATACCAGCTAAACCACAAGCAAAGTTACAGTAAGATACATCAATTTCCAAGCAGCAATGAGCTGGCATTAGAAACCTCCAGAGCTTTATATCACAGGAAAATGCTTTAGCTTTTCATCTCTATTCTTTTTCACAGCTACTGCTTGAGACAGAGACACACAAACATACACAGTTCTCTCTTTTCCTTGGACAGTCACCTAGTCCCAGTGTATGTCCACACAAAAACCGTGCAAACACGCAATAAAGAAGAAACTAAAAGAACTAGTCACTTTGTAAACCTGTAACCATTCTTTTAAATAACGATTTATTGGAACTAAATAATTCAACCCAGGCTGTATGCTTCCTTTGAAAGCAATTTCATGGTTCCTGACTGAAGTGAAACTCTGAGGGGGAAAAAAGCCAGTTTTATTCATGGAATGCATTTGAAGAAAGTCAACACCAATGCAGTCGTTAATTCCTTAGCATCTACTTACGTTGTTCTCTATACGGAGTTCCTCCATAAAAACAAGCCACTGACAGTTTCCTGGTGAGATTCTTGAAGTCTTTGGCTACCTGAGTGGCCAGCTCTCTGGTTGGAACAAGAACCAGCACCTGAAGGAAGTGAAAAGAGATAAAAATGTAGCTACACTTGGGAGAGGTGGTCAGGAGAAAAGGGTTTACTTCACATTAAACAGTGGTATTTTTATCTCCAGTTAATGCCAGATGAAGTAGACACTTGGTGTAACACTAGCAAGGACAACAAAGGTGCAGTTCAGCATTAAAGGATAGGAATAGTCACTAAACAATTTGCAGTAGTAAGATCTTAAAAAGATACGTAGCATGACATACTCTAGCCGTATATTCTCCTTCTCCACCTACCCACCTTCCTCCAATATCTATCCTTCCCTGCTCCATTTTCTTTTAAGAATGAAGTGATAAAACTGAATTATTCTCTAGCAACCTTTCAGACAATAAGATTTAAATTAAAACTTACACCACTTTTAAAGTTAATAAAATAGAAGGATGAAGTCGCCAACAAATCTGCAGACTACAACAGTTTTTCAGTCTAATGATAAATACAAACACGATTTGCATGAGAATAGGATATCTGATCACAGGTATCCGGCTACCAATCCTATCTCACGCTTAAGTAGAAAAGTGAACACCACTTGCATCCATTAAGTTGAGTCTCCAGACATGAGGGTAAAAAAAAAAAATCTAAACTCTTCAGTTATCACCATGGAATTTACAGTGAGAAACAACCTCAATGAATGGAGACAAGTCCAGCTGACTCAACCACTACCTAAAAAGAGGCAGGGGATTCAACCCAAAAGCTGCACGCTAACTTCCTGAGGATACAGCCTCTCAAATAAGGTCACAAGGAACCCAAAAAGTGAAATGTGTTATCACTCTGATGCTGCAAAACCTCTGTCACATCACAGCTGCTGCTCTGCAGGAAGTGTTCAGTATTAGACACACCAATAAAGGAGAAAGAAGTCCCCAAAAAGTCCCCAAAACAATTACAAAATCACTTTTGAAAACTGCCATATTCTAAATGGTAAATTACTTTTGGTGAACGGCCTCTTCTGCCCTCTTGCGATACACTCTGAAGTTTTTCAATCAGCGGAAGAACAAAAGAAAAGGTTTTCCCGGTTCCTGTTCGAGCTTGAGCAATTACATCTTTGCCGTCATATATGGGCTGAAAAGTCTTCACTTGCACAGGGAACAGGTATTTTACACATCGAGCTGTAAAATAAGCCAAACAGATTTCATTAAAAGGCACTGATTCTACTGTAAGCTGAACAAACAATTAGAAGCCCTCATATATAACTAGCCCGAGTATACAGGACACATCATGTCAAATTCTGTGCACAACAGAAGGTGCAAGGTAAAAGGAATACATATCTGTGTGTTTTCTCTCCTACTCTAGATCAAAAAGTACTCCCCCTTCAATACACAGCTGAGTATTCACAATGAAATAAAACCTTATTTATAACATTTGGCATAAGACAACCAGAGGGAAAGAAGGAAAAAAAAAAGAAAAACAGAACAAAACATTCTTTTTTCTGATACACCCCAAGATTTTGTGATAGCTTGGTTCCAAGAGCAGAGAAGGAGGTGAGGGTGTTTAAGATATTCTAAAACTTGAGAGAATTTTGCACAGCAGAAATTAAAAAATCCGTCCAAGAGAAACTTCCAAGCAAGGAAAACATAAAGCAACTAAGAGAACTTGTCTGGGAAACAAGAATTGCAGTTTCCCAACACAGAGAACAAGAACTCTACTGTGGTTACATCCACCATAAGACATATCTAGAAAAGATATGAAAATGCTCTAACAGTCCTCATACTTCACAGAAGCCAAACAGTCCTCATACAGGAAATTTCATTACACTTATTTAAGAAGTGACAATGTAGACAGCAGATAGTAGAATTAAAACAAAGATACGTGGTAAGTAAAATGATGCTGATAAGAAAAACCCTCTCTCTAGAATGTATATGTAGGAATAACCACACCACAGAAAAATACACTCACCTTAAAATGACAGAACCTGAAATGGAATAAAACAGAAACTGTTCCTACTAACAGCAGTAGATTCTTTGCATCTACAGTGACCGCTCATGTGCATGTTCTTACTCTACAATAAACGTAAGAGAATTTAGGACAAATTACCTTTGGCTTCTGCCTCTGCTTGCATGGGTAACAGAGTTCAATTCTGCACAAACATTTAAAGAAATTTCTTTTGCCACATTAACTAACCTTTGAGAAGGTTGATGGTGTTTTTGGAGAGAGGAAAATTGGAGAAGGCGCCTTCTTCTGCTTCTTCTGTCAGCTCCTAACAGGATAAAAGAAAAAATGAAAACAAAACCCCAAATTTATTACCCCTAAGAGATGAGCAAATAACATACCCTACACAGGCACACAAGAAAAACCGTGCATTTACTTTATCACTCCTGCTTTACCAGCTACTTCCTTTCTGTCTAAAGAGAAAGAAAACCCTTGTGATGCAGGTACTTCACAAACAAAAATGTCATCACGGCATAAAGTGGGAAATTTGAATCCAGCCACCCTGTACTAGAAGACAAGACACACTGACACAGGCTGCACCAGTCAGTGTGACAGAATTCCTACAGATGAATCTTGGTTTTACATCAGTCTTAAGTAAAGACTTCCTACCAAAGGTCTTCCTGCTCTTGTTACCTGCAACAACTTGTTCAAAACCACAACTACTGCTATCTCATCCTTAGTTCAGATATACCTGCACCACCTTTTAAGAACCAAGGCTAACAAAAGGGAACGACTGCCCCTTCCATGTGACCGCATCACATCGTGCACATATGCTTTGCAACTCAGGAAACCACTTGTTAAAAATCTTAACTGGAGTCCAGTGAAATTATTAGGAAACTGTTTTTCACAGCAGAACACATTTGCTGTCACAATTCACTGTGTGAAGTAGGAATTTCCCTCTAAATCACACCTACTCGGTATACCATACAAGCAGCTTAACTTGTACACTGTTAGATACTTCCTTAAAGCTCACCGTTTAGCTTCCACCTCAAAGATACAAAAAGCACTCTTGTGATCCATGTTCCCATCTTAAACACAAGAGAGAAAACTACCCAGAGAAGGTCCATACAAGGGAAGGCAGGCTGTGGGGCCCCCTCGCACATGTGTGTGAGGCCAAGAGCGAAATCTGAACAGGAAGAACTCCAGAAGGAGAAATTAATGAGGATAACTATGACCTCCCCTTACAGGACACCTTGCCAAATACTCCTTCAAAGGGCTTGCCGGCAGAGAAAGCCCTGTCACAGAACAAGCCAATGCACATTTCTGGGACGGTGACCGCCTGTGCAGCAGGGAGAAACCCTTGTGCTGCAGGGCACGGAACAAACTGCCACACAAAGACGAACTACCACACAGAGACTGCTTTCTGCTAGCTAGCTTCCTCCACTGCAGGATAAGCTACTCCAAACAGCTTGGCTTGGCATTTACCACGAGGGGGAAAGCACAACGAGGCTACCACACGTTGGTGCAGGTACTGCCATGCTTCACTCATCCGCCCACAGCTTGGGCAGCAATGGGCACGGTGCCGGGCACTCCCCGATGCCCCAAACTAAGTACCATAAATGTAAATCTCAGGAGAACAGCGGCCAACTGCCTACGACAGCAGCCCAACGCCCCCACAGCCGTCACAACAAATCTCCACACAGCATCCAATATGTGTCATTAAGCCCACTCATTACCACTGGGCCTTTAATGAGAGAAAAAACAGGGTTCCGCTGGCAGAGCATCAGTACCTCCCCATCACCGTCCTGCTCCCCAGCGCCCGGGGCTGTCCCATCACCGCTGACAGCGGAGGAAGCTTTCACCGTCTGCTCGGAGCCGCTGCTCTTCACCTTGCCATTTTTCGTCTTCTTGGCCAGGGGGGGCTCAAGGTCACCGCCTCCCAGCCCACTCTCCTCAGGGGGAGCTTGCTCGCCCTCAGCTTTCCCGCGCCGCTTCAGCTTCTCCCGCCGCCTCAGCCTCTTCTCCGGGGTTTCGTCCTGC